ACACTGAATATTTTAATGACTCTGAAATCTGATCCATTTAAAAAACAAAACAATGACACATTGAAGTATCCAAATGCCTTACCAATTCATGACCCACATGTTTCCTGTGGTGAGTGTGCGCTGCTTAGCACAAACCAGTGTCAGCAGATCTCCTCATGGCCTACAGAGAGAGCTTACTCCTAACCTTTTAGGACAGCTTGTTTTTCCTTAAGAACTAGTACTCATCCGTGTTCTATTATGAGAGCAGAACATGATGAATGTGCCTCCTTGTACACCTGCAGGTCACATGTGAGTGTGTGGGGACAGCCCTTTGGCACAGTGACTTGATGTACATGGTGGTATCTCTGAGAAACAGCGCTCCTCCAGACAGCTCCTCCTGCAGGAACACACATCCCACGAACGGGCCTAGCGCCATTGGAGCTGGCTCACATGACAACTGTTCTTTCTCCTGCTTTATTCCTCTTTGTCTTTCCTTATCCTCTCATCCACTAAATCCCAGATTAATGTCTTCTTTGTCTTCAGCCCAGGTGGCAAACCTATTTGCCATGTATCGCTCACCCATAAACGAATAATATGCAGTGCTTACGCTGTGAGCTGTTCCTGCTTGCTGGGCAGAGTGAGCCTTCAGCTGACTGCTGGCTAATGAGAGCACAGAGGAAGGAGCTGCCTAGTGAAGCAGCCTATACTGACCTGGCTGCTGCACTAGGTCATTTCAGACCGACCCTTGGTGTGTGAGCCTCAGTTATATTTGTTTTAAATGGTGAGTTTGCAAGCATCAACATAAATAGGAGCTACTTCCACTCTGGTGGTTCAAAGCATTCGCAATGTTTGTAACTTCTAGTGAACAATGTTTCAGAGAAAGCAGAAGCAAAGCTTCTAGGATTTTCACATTTTTGATTATGAGATGCTCAAGCTTGTGTTTTGTAAACAAGATTTAGAAGCTCCTCTGCATAGCTGTGCTTTGGACTATGGCAAATTGTAGAATAAAATCTGTAATTGTGCCTGGATTTATTTTACAAACTGGGGTCATTTCAGCAGTCTGTGTGGCCTTCCATTCAGCTGTTTGTTTAAGCCAAGCCAAAAGCCACTTATCTAAAGATGATTTATTCTCACTCTTGAGCTGATAGAACCAGGCTGGAAAGGGCGAAAGCTGAGCTGCAGGCTTTGGTATGAGCCCCCTCCAGTCAAACTCTTAAGGAGAGCATAAAGGCCTGACCATAACATAGTTCTGGAAGGTACTTGCGGGACTCTTGTGCTTTGCTTGTAGGACACTTTTTAAAATAAACAGCAGTGGTATGTGATTGACTCAAATTTGAACTTTGCAGCTGTTTCTTCCTATCTGTGTGGTATGTCAGAGCAAAACTCTCCAGCTCAACATCTCTAAAATCAAAAATTTAAATATTATAATTTGGATCAGCTTCTGACCTTTTGGTCTTGGCAGCATAAGCAAAATGGAGACAAGTGTGATTCTTTGTCTAGTTCAGAAAATTATATGTTACTTATTTACTTAGAATATAGCAATGCTGTGTAGTAAAAGACAATGGCTAACAATTCTTAGCAAGAGATGTGTAACTGTAACTTGAGGCTTAATATCTGGCTGTCAGAATTGTGTCTGAAGAGAAGGAAAATTTTAGTCATGTTTTAAGCTTAGTTTGCTTTGTTAGATTAAGGCAACCAAAATAATAGTTCACTTTCACTGTTGTCCTCTCTGGATGCTGTGAGGATCAAATATCTTTTAACTTCGTTAGACTTCATTTAGTGCAGAATTTGACTACAAGGGAACACAGTAAGTGACACTGAAGGTGTAGTTTCTCAATATTTTTGTCTTTGGCAGTGAAAAATGTTTGAGGGCCCTATTGCCTTACTTGGGGTTTGTTGCTGCCCTAGCATTTTTGGAGGGGTATGGTGGGAACTTGTTGGCTGGAATGACCTAAATCTTAAAACACCTCCTCTCCCCTCCAGAAGAACTTGTAGTGTGTCCGACTGCAGTGCCAGGCTGAGGAGCTGGGCTGGGCTGTGGTGGGGCAGCCAGGGACCTCTTGCAGCACCCACATGGATGATCACAGCAGTAAATATAGGGGCAGATGCAAATGGCCAAGAGATGAACCTGCAGAAAGAAATTTGCCTCGTCAGTTAGAGTTGGTTTGAGTGAGATAATAGCAAAGGGATTAAAGAACTGTTGTATATTTTGAATTTAGGCTGTCAAGGCAAATATTTTGACAGTCTCTCAGAAGTGGATATTGAGTGGCATGCTGTGAAGAACATAGAGCTCTGTCATGGAAAATGTTCGTCAATGGATGGGAAACTGAGAGGTGGAATAAACAGCTAGTTTTCAGCCTGGAGTTTCTGTCCAGCAAAAATGGGAGAAAAGGGGCAAGTGCTGGAGGGCAGCTTCACGAAGTGCAGAGTTCCATAGTGCACAGCGTAGCTGGAAAGGCTCTGATGCACAGTGTACATGTTCTGTTGGAGCTGTGTGAAAATTGGGTAAATTCATTCGGAAATTCAAAGTGATACCTGCTGGAACAAAAACGTTAACTACAGAAGCATGGCTGAACTGTGAATAATCTCCAGTACTTCATCTGCAACCTCCCTCTGCTGAATCTAATGAGTAAGAAATGTTCCTGCCCTTCCTCTGACCCCTGAACCATATTCCTGAGTGTGTTTTTGTCCTCTGAGCTATAACAGGAGATGAAGGGAACAGCACTCGCATTCAGTTTATCACTAGTACAGGAACAAATTTATCTGTGTGCTCGTTCCGCCAGAATAAAGTGGTAGTTACCTGTGAAAAGCTGGGTTGTGAAGGTTTAATTTGAAAGGTAAGTGTGACAGCAGGAGCTGTTATTACTGGTGATGTTTATTAACTTTCACATGCTACGAATATTTCACAATATAGCAAAACTGGGAAGTGTGTGTCCCAGGGAAGACCTGAGATTTGACTCTATTTTCGTATCATTTTTGACCGGGCAGTTCGACTCACGCATTTACTTTTCTGGAGATACTCATATCTTAACATGTTGCCACCATGTATTGTTGCATTTTAAATGAAAAGTACCTCAGTGGTGTGTAGTTTTCCTTATGATTCTAATATGCATTCACCATCTTTTATTAGCGACATGTATTATGGCTTCCAATGTTCATTTGGAATTCCCACCTACCTAAGTAAATATGAACTTTATTCTCTTTGTGTTCAATAAACTGCATTTTATCATGTTACATAGATACAGAGTGAAGTGTACCAGCTGTGATTTGACTGTAAGTTAAAAATATAATTAATTACAAAGATGAGTTGTTTAACTCATCTTTGACTCAGGAGTGGTGCTTACACAAAAAAATCAGATTCTCTTTGGAACTTCTCTTAAAAAATAAAGGTGTTTTCTATTAAATTGTCTTTAATCATGCCACTGACATAAGAAGCATGTATGCTTTTCCAGTTGTTTAAAGTGGAAATAATGAGAGAATTAACTTTTTTTTGGCAGGCTGACACTTTAGTTCTCTGTTATTACAAAGGGTGTATTCGAGTCATTGGTATGTCAGATTGCTTGAAAACTCGATGCTTTCTCCAGCTTTTCCAAGAATAAAAAATGGGAAAAGAATGATTGTCACAGTACAGCTAAATGCACAACTAAATGTGGATTGCCATTTGCTAACATCTAGTTTAGTACATTTTCATAATTTACTTAGTAAAGTCATGAAATGAGTTGTTTGAGTGCCAGACATGCACTGTCGGTTTTGGGCTGTCATTCTCTGATGTTTTTCTCTAGTTGGCCAGTGGCAGCAGAGAGGCTGAAAGTTGCAGGCTTTGTTCTAAGCACAAAACCAGGCAGGGTATGCAGGAGCATCTGTCAGAAAAACAGGCCAGGCAGCATGGTAACCACGAACAGAGGGAGGTGAAATTCGGTTGTGGGCATGAAAGGCGTGGCTAGGTCCTGCAGGAGCCTGCAGATGGAGGTGGGGAAGAAGAGTAATGCGGGTGAGATCTTGTGGATAGTCCATAAATCCTAATGTAGGAAGGAGAAGAAATTGCCATATGGAATTCTGAGGTTTTTGAAGTTGTGGTGTTTTGTTGTTTTCTTTTACTTTTGCATTCACTGGGACTGGAATTCAACCACTAGGCTCAGAAGCTCCTAAAAATTTAAACACCAACTCCATCGCCCCTTGACAAAGCTAAAGGACTTAAAAGGAGGATGGGAATGCCTTTTTTTTTTCCCGGTACCTGCTGACCCCTCTCTGTTCGGCAAAGGGGAGCAGAGGAGGCACTGTTCACTACTGGTCTTTTTTGTGAGTAGAACTCGGGAGCGGTGCACCCCCTTTGCTGAGGGGTAGCATGACTGCATTTCCTGCTCTCCCCCCCTTCCGAAGTGATACATTTTAAGTTTAAGCGCAGAGGCATGTGTGTTGATCCATCTGTTACTGTAAGGAAGGCTTCTGGGTTTGAGTGAGGAGCGTAGTGATCTCCGATCGCCTCCCATTCCAAGGGAAGTGTAGCTCTGGGAATGTCCCCCAGCTACCGTCACAGGCAGCAGAAGGGGAGGCCCCTGGGAGCGCCGAGGGCTGCGGGGTGCGGGTCGGTATCCCGCGGCGGCTGGGCAGCCCCACGGCCCGCTGCCTTACCCCGGTGCAACCTTCCCTGCCCAGATCCTCGCGACGCGGCCACTCGGCGGCTGTAAAACTGCTTAAAGCGCTCTGCTGGGCCGCCGCCTGCAGCCGTGGCGATTTCAAGCAGGGGAAGATGATGTGGGCGTGCTGGAGGAGTGGGTGGGACCGGGCCGCCACCAACACTTCAGTGGCAGCGCGCTCGACGCACGGCCGTGCGGGACGGGCGGAGCGGATGAGTGAGTGCCGCCGGGCAGCCGGAGCGGTCGCTCCCTCGGGACGAGGCGAGCGGCTTCCAAGCGCGCACGGAAAGCTTTGGCTTGTGGATGTGGATGCGCGCAGGGTTTCATCTTGCTGAGTTGTGCGAAGGCTTTATCTGCTGCTGATGTCTTTTCTCTCTCCCGTAGGTGCGTGATGTTGAGCAGTGGGCAGTCCCCACAGCCTTCCCCGCCGACTCGGAGCGTCATGCGCCAGTATGAGCAGTAAGAGAGAAAAGCGCGCCTCGGAGCTCAGCATCCCCTCGAGAAAAAAGGAGGAACTGAGTGGAGAGGACGAATGACTGTACTGCTTGCAAAACTTGCAGCGGTTCACTTTTTCTCCTGAGGAGTTTTGTCTTGGCTGCTGTGAGAGCTGGAAGAGCAAGCGGAGCTGCAGCAGTGATTTCCTCGTGGTCCCCCTTCTCTGCTTTTATTTAACTTTTTTCCCCCTCGTGCCCGGAGTTAAGACTGCCAGCTGCACTGTTTGCGAGCAGTGGACACCAATATGTGTCATGTCATTGTAACGTGTCGGTCAATGCTATGGACTCTGCTGAGCATCGTCGTGGCTTTTGCGGAGCTCATCGCTTTCATGAGCGCGGACTGGCTGATTGGCAAAGCCAAACCGGTCAGCACCGAGGACATGGACAACAGAACGGGAGGGCCGCAGGAACCTTACCGCCCGACCCTGGGCATCTACGGGCGCTGCACAAGGATCTCTCACATGCAGCTCTCCAGGCGAGATACGCTTTGTGGCCCTTACGCTGAAAACTTCAGTGAGATTGCCAGTGGGTTCTGGCAGGCGACCGCTATTTTCCTAGCTGTGGGAATCCTGATCCTCTGCGCCGTGGCGTTTGTGTCTGTCTTTACTATGTGTGTGCAGAGTATTATGAAGAAAAGTATTTTTAATGTCTGTGGGCTGCTACAAGGGATTGCAGGTACGTGAGCTCTGAGAGCAACTAAAAATGCTAACTTTTGTGCTGTTCAACTTGCAATTGTTCACAGCAATTCTGTGGTGTCTACAGGGCGATCACATTAGACAGACCCAGAGTGATTCTATATGCTGGTGTTTATTCAAACTCAGCTGAAATTTATAGCTACACAGCATGTAATACATTGACATTGGCAGTAGGATTGCAGCATGTAGTGTGCCAAAATGAACTGACCAGTGTTTTCCTTTGTTTGCTGTTCAGTACTTTTTCTCTGTGTGAATTTCTTTCTGTAACAAAATCTTCTCTCCTTTGTTACCAGCAGAGAGCAAAGTTAATCCTCAGGCTAAGGCAGTTCATCTCCCTCTCACTTCTTCGGTGACTTTTCCATAGGCGCAGGGCAGTTCAGTTGCCCCATGGCTGAGGTGAGAGCGAACACCCCAGGACAGGGCCTGCAGGTGTACACTCTGCTTACCAAGTTTCATGCTAAGCCACCTCTTTCAAGGGTGTGTGCTTGACAAGTCATACCTGACAGTAAACTCTCCCCTTGGCCAGCCCATTGCGTTGTTCAGCTGCAGTCATAGAGCCCTCTGAGCTTATCTTTTTGTGGTCTGATTGTACTTTGCCTGTAATGACAAATCCATTCTAGATGTGTCCTGTTACTGTTTATAACGTAGGTTTGCAGGGATTAAGTAACTGTAATGCAGACCAAAGCTGGAAAGCCCTAGGCAGAGCAGTGTGTGGCTTTCTGTGGTCATTAGGACTGGTTCTATGTGCCAGTTCCGTGCTTTGCAGTGTGTGCATGGGGTGGTCCGAAGGAGAAGAGTGGTCCTGCCACAACCAGCTGCCCTCAGGGACTGGTGAGGGAGGCGGCAGTGGCACAGGCTGCCTCTGCCTTCCCTCTTTGTGGTGCTCTTAACCAGATGTTTTCAATTCATACAGTGATGTGGTTAAACCAGAAGTGAGGAGTTGGGACTTGTTTGCTGGAAGGAGGAGTCCATCTTGACCACTACTTGCCAGGACAGCGGTGGCCCTGTTGCTGGCTGCTCCTTGACTGGTGTACTAACTGCTCCCCGGCTTGAATGAGGGCTGTGCTCACCTTCCTCTGATCACGGAGGTCACAGCTGGGGACATGGCCGACACTGGCTACTAAGGCACTGTAAAATAGTATAAAAGCATACGGGTTGTTTTGTGGCATCCACAATAATGCTTGTGTGCTTGCACCAGAATTAGATCCCTCCATTGGCTCAAGATGTTTCTGTACAGATTATGGGAGCAGATGAATATACTTAAAATAAAAAATGACATGTTTTGCAGCAATCCCTCCTGGTTCACAGAACTACCAGCACCAGTGTGACAAATAAACAGCTCTGCAGTGCAAATTAGAGCTAGTGGAAGGTTTTAGCTCCTTGCTTTCTTACCCTGCACTTCAGAAATAATCCATGAAACCTGTTTTTTAAGAGATTACATCTTTTCATTTAAAGTTATGTTTGTGTGAGAGATAGGTTGGCAGCATAAGTAGACATTTGCTGCATCAGACTCATGTCTGTTGAAAAGATAACTGTGCTTCTGGTTCCAGTGCCATCTCAAGATGGATGTAGTCTAGCATCAGAGTAGGCAGGAAGTAGATTCTTGTATCTTGCAAACTGTTCTGTAAAACATCCATTTGTGAGCAGATATGACAGTTCTAGGTTTTAATATCAGACCAGCTGTGTGGATAAAGGAAAACATTGAACAATATGGTAGACCAAGCATTTGTTATGTGAAAAGATAGCTAAGTCCTTTTTTTTTTATCTGTACTGAGAAAAGAAAGCTTCCCTTCCTATGGTTTAGATAAATGACAGCATTAAACTGGGTAATTGAAAGGTCACGTTGCTGAAGCTGTTGCTATGAGAAATACCACTGCTGATATTTGCAGCCAGACGCCTTGTGGCTAGCAACTCATTTTCTCAAGATTAATTGTATTGGGTCCACTGCTACTCTTGTGCCAGTAGCATTACAGCATCTGCTTACTTAGTTGAAAGTATTTTCCATATGACTTATCACAGCTGTTAATTTCAACTTTCTCAGTTCCTGAGTTTTGAAAAACACTTATGCATGTTTCTAGCAGTACAATTGTTGGCATAGTCAATCACGTGAGGATTATGATATGTGAACTAATGCCCTGGCCAGAGAACAGCTTGACACAAACCAGCGTGATTGTCTTCAGCTTAAGATTGTTCTTTCAAATGTGAACTATTATGTTTTTTAGGAAAAAGAAGTCACAAAGTCACTTTGTTTATCAGCATGTATCAGCCCAATATTTTTAAGCATGTCAAACATTTCATTTTCAAGGATGAGATGCACCCACACAGAGTAATCTACGGGAACTCAGGATCTCACAGACTTAATCTCATTTAAAATCTCTATATCTTTGCTATGGAGATTTGATATAATTAAAAACATACAGCAAGTTAGTTTATTCCTGGAATTCATCATGAAAAGACAATAACAGACACCGGATATATCTTTTTTGTTTAGCAACAGTGGTTGTGACCTGGGTGATGCCTGCAGTGAAATTACTAACACAAAACCACGTCTTTTTGTATGGTCCTTTGACAAGCCCTCATTTAAACAGTGGGTAGGAGCCATGCAGATATATGATCCATAGAGCTTTTGTTGTTACTGTCATTGCAGAAAATTAGAAATAAAAAACTATACAGCTTCTGTTTGAAATCTTATAATTTGTTGTAATAGGACATGACATTTTTCCGCTTGCTTTCAGGCTTCAATGTCTCTCACTCTGGACTTGTAGCAGTCGTAACCAGTTGTCCTGGTTTTAGAAATGTTTGCAGATTGTTTCATTTGGAAAAGAATATTTTCCCTGCAATAGACAGTGCAAAGAAAGGAGCCATGTAATTAAACAGATAATTACTACCCAGCAGCAAGAAGTTCAGGCAGACTTTTTGAACATCTTTTTTGGGAAAGTATTCTGTTTTTACAGTTGATGAAACATTTGAAGTACAGAGGCTAGAAGAGGCCCAGGATGACCTGTAATAGCTGTGGAGCACTTTCAGTATTTGTGCATGTTGTTAGGAAGCATTGCTGGTCAAAGAGGCCAAGCAGGCGCTCAGGGGAAGCACCGCACACACTCCTGCTGCTGCCCGCAGGTGACAGGCTGCTGCTTGGCGGAGAGCCTGAGCAGGAGGAAAGTGAAGCCAGAGCAGTTCAGCCTTCAATGGCAAGGGAACTTCTTGTTTGTCTTTCTAAAATGCAGAGCATGCATTTTTCAAAAGCATATTTCCTCTTGGATTCATCTTAGAATTTTTCTTTTCTGATGCCAGAAATCTGAATTCTTGGGGTGGGAAGAAAGAAGGGGTGGGGGGGGGGGATTTCTAATGGAAATCCTGATGGTCTGAACTGCTCCTGCTGTCTGTGGTGTAGTGCTTCCTGTAACCTATATGGCCAGCTGCCAGCACGACATCCAATACACAGATGGTTGCTGAAAGTTCAAGCTAAGGGGACTGCTGGTTTGGAGCAAGAGGAATTATGCCAGGGAAGGAAAACGAGTTCCAGTGCTGAACTGCTATTGAGCCTGCGGGACAGTATTAAGAAGTAGTTAAAGGACAGTTAAAGAAATAAAGTGAAGCTTTAGTTCAGTGTTCAGTTAGATTTGGAGGTCAGCTTACCTCCTGTGCTACCATGATGGTCACAGGGATCAGCAGACACTCAGCAGACTGTCAGTGCTGAGGTTCTCACTAGCAAAAATTAGCAGTTGATGTTCTTAGCAAGCAAGCATAAACCTTCCATCAAATGGTGTTGAGTGTGAGAACCTTGTGCACTCTGAGAAATCCCTTCCTGCGGCATGCGTGTGTGGCACTGCGTAATGGTACTGATGTGGGGATGTCTGTATTCCCTGCTGTCCAGCGGAGTGGGACTGGCTGCCTCTCCTGCAGGGTGGATTTTTGCTTTCAGACTTAGAGCCAAGACTGATGCTGCTTTTCCATAGAGCAGCTAACTCTAGGAGTTTGTGCTTTTACTCAAACACAAGAAAAAAGAATAATTCAGCTCAGTCTCAGCAGGCAGAGAGGGGTGGGGACGGTTGACTTGCACTGCAGGATCAGCGCTGAGGAAATGTAATGGAATGAGAAAACGTCTCAGAGCCCTTTTACCTCATTGTTTCAGCCAAGGCAGCTTGTTGCTTCGGCTCCTTTGCAGAGCCCTGGTCACGAGGTGTTTTTCTTTCCCTTTCTGCTGATTCTGCACAACCGATTCATGTTTTGGAGGGCACTGGCAACAGCCAGTTGGACGGCACTGAGAACAGTTACAGCAAGCACTGAAACGTGCTGGGTCTTTTCCTCTGCTTCTTTCGCGGATGGACAGTTTGACATCATCTGGCACTTTCTTTCCAAACTAACGAACCTCCCAAATTCAACTGTTGCAGTGTAGTTACTCATTTAGCCGCTTCAAACCTGCCGTCAGGCCGTCTCAGATTAAAAACGCCCACTACCTCCCTGGCTTTTGAGGCAAACCCTGGCGGCCATGTGGCAGCCCCACAGAAGGCTCAGCAGTGTGCCTGGCTCCTGCTGTGGTGTTCTGAGCACAGAGCTGGGCAGGGCTTGCATGTGTGTGAAACACCAACAGGGCCTGCTTCAAAGAAAGGTGCCGCAGCCTTACAGGGTGGTCAGGGCCTGCAAATTGGTGTGACGGGTAGGGTTGGCACAGCACGGGGTATTCTGTGATTCTGTGAAGTCTGATGGGATGCAGCCTACCCTCTCCGCTCCTGAAGAGAGCAGTCTGTATGTTCACGCTTCATTAAAGAGAAGACCGAGCAGATTACACAATAAAAAAAAACTAAACCCAAGAAGCCCCAAATGCCATGCAGGAATCGCCCATATGCTGTCATTCTGCCAAAGCAACCCACATCAAGGCTTTATAAGCTGGCTTCTTTTTGGCTCTTTCTGTGGGTAGCAAAATGTACATAATAGTGATAATAGCTTCTTGTCCATAGCTCTTCCTTATACCTCCTG